CTACATTATGTAAAGAATGACAATACAAGAGTTAGGGTAAAGTGTAGGGGTCTTGTCCCTGAATTGACTGGTGACAATAATAAAGGTACGACAATTTATTACTTTCCAAGAAAACAACTTCTCAATGGGTTCTTTTTATATCTAGGGAAGACGAAAATAAAAGTTTGAACTGTTAAAACATACGAAGATTGTCATTCTTGTTTACAAACAAGGACAGTGAGGGCTTGTTCATCTAAATTTCTAGCTAACAACATATTGCAACAAGTTGAAAGTAACCCTAAGATCCCTACACGTGCTTTATAGGAGGACTTAGTACAGAGGCATTCACTTTCAATGTCAAAGATGAAAGTATTCCGGGAAAAAGCTATGGAAAAACAATTTGTTTATGGTGATTATGAAAAGCCGTATGGTATTTTGAGAGAATATGTCATGGAATTGCAGTCAAAGAATCCAGGAACAACTGTGAAGATAGATGTGGAAACTGAACCCAACTTGTGTGAAACAAGGATCTTCAAACGTGTATATATATATATATATATATATATATATATATATATATATATATATATATATATATATATGCTTAGGTCCATTGAAGGAGGGATTTAAAAAAGGTTTTAGGGATTTTCTTGGATCTGATGGTACGTTTTTGAAGGGTCCCTTTCCTGGACAGATCCTCATTGCAGTTGGGCTTGATTCGAACAATGGCATTTACCCAGTTGCATATACTATTGTAGAAACTGAAAATATTAACTCTTGGACATGGTTTTTGGAACACTTAGGTGATGGCTTAGATTTGAATTCTTCACCTAACTTCACTTTCATTTCAGATCGGAAAAAGGTACCCTCTAACTTCAACAAACTTTACTTTTTTTAAATTTCATTTACTAACTTATTTTAGTTGTACTCACTGGGAATCTTGGCTGTAATAGAGAAGCTATTTCCGTCAGCTGAGCAAAGGTTCTGTTTAAGACATGTGTATGACAACATGAATGTGAAACACAAAGGAGATGAATTGAGGGAAGTAGTATTGTGTTGTGGAAAAGTATATAGCATACCAAAATTTTATAGGGCTATGGAGAAACTGAAAAAGCTTAACCTAGAAGAACATGAGTGGTTAAGTAAAATTCCTGCAAAACACTGGGCAAGATCCCATTTCTCTGGTAAGTATCATACTCTTTTCACTAGCATATTTCATAACTAATTTCGCTAATTAATTGTTTGGTTTTATACATAGGAAGGGAATTGACTGATAGTTTGACAAATAACTTGTGTGAGGTATTTAACTCCAAGTTAGATGAGGCCAGGGACAAGCCTATAATCACTTGTTTGGAATTTATTATAGAATACCTCACAAAGAGAATAGTAAATGTTCATAAAGTAGTAGTCAAATGCAACGGTTCTCTAAGTACAACTGCAACAACAATATCAGAAAACAATAAGACAGAGGAAAATAAGATGAGGGTTCTATTTAGTACAGCTGATAAATATCAAGTGACTGGTCTATGGATGGAGCGCTATGTTGTGAACTTGAAAGAGAGTAGTTGCACTTGCAGGAAATGGGACATTATAGGTATTCCAAGCCAACATGTTATTGCTGCAATGTATGATAAGATGCAGAATGGGCCAGAATGTGGATATCATGAGGCTTAGGTGAGCAAATGTTACTCTCTTAGTACATGGAATGCTATGTACCAACACCCAATTGACCCAATAAATGGAACAATTTTATTCAAGCACTGCCCATGCATTGATGTGCAATTATATCATTATTAAAAGAATGTTGTGTGGTTGGCTTATGAACATTTCTGATAGAAACTTTTTTTAAAGATAATTTCTATTTTTATTGACCACTCAATATTATTTTATTGGAGAACATATTTGTTTTTAAAGAAAATTACAAATATAACCTAATCTTTCAATTACTTTGTAGAAAATAGCCAAAAAAGACTCAAATTACAAATATAGTCATGAAAATCGCAGATAGATTAAGCCCATCTGCGATTTTAACATTCCATCTGCGAACGTACAAGTCGCTAAAACCCAGTTGTGCTGTAGCGACTTGTATGTTCGCAGATGGACTAGTCCATTTGTGATTTTGCCTTTTTTTAGGTATAAAAACGTAAAATTGTTTCCTTCATTTTTTACAATTTTTCTTTGAAGAATTCTCTATATTGAAGCACTATGGACGATTTCATGAAGAATCCCGACAATAAGTTTTAACAATAACTTATGTAATTTTTGAAAACGTGATTAATTTTGTCATAATTTTATTTATAAAAGTTTTTGACATTAAAATCATATACAACAATTCTTTACTAATATAATATAATACTTTTAGAATGAAGATAAAATTTTCATAAATTATAACTTTTATTTTCTATAATTTACATATGAGTTGACATATCCAATAATGCAAAAGGGTTGTATATATGGAAATTGATGGGAGTCGAATGTGAATACAACTACCACTTGTATAACAGATTAAATTTTGTAATAATTAGTGGTTATTATTTTAATAACTTGATAATTTAAATATAACATTTTGTACATATTGTCGGGATTGTTCATGAAATTGTCCATAGTGCTTCGAGAGAGAAAATTCTTCAAAGAAAAAGTGTTAAAATGGAGAAAAAAATTACGTTTTTATACTTGGAAAAAGGCAAAATCACAGATGGACTAGTCCATATGCGAATGTACAAGTTGCTAAAGCACAACTGTGCTTTAGCGACTTGTATGTTCGCAGATGAAATGTTAAAATCACAGATGTGCTTAATCCATCTGCGATTTTCGTGGCTATTTTTGTAATTTAGGTTTTTTTGATTATTTTGCACAAAGTAATTAAGAGATTAGGTTATATTTGTAATTTTCTCTTGTTTTTATTTGATGATTATTATAGATTGAGTGTCTACTATATTTTTGTTTTGTGTATCTAACTCATCCTTTTTTTAATTAGATTTCATTTTATATCATTAATTATATTTTAGTTTTAAATATTTGTTACTTATTTACTAATTAACTCTTTCTATTAATTATTTAATGACATTTCATTTATGAAATATAAATTTTATAACGATTATATAATATTTGCAATCATTTTTTTTGTAAATATGACCTAATAACTTTTCCGTATATCATGTATATAAAATAAATACCTAACCTATTTGTTTGTGACTGACATTATAGATATGATGTATATTTAATGGATATATACACTAAAGTCCCAATATTTTTATCGATTTGACAAAAAAAGTCCTAAAATTTATTTTTTTGACAGTAAAGTCCTAACTACCGACAGTTTTTGACACTTTTACCTTTTTTATCCGGTTAGCCGGTAATTAGGGTTTTTTTGTTAAAAAAATAAAGTTTAGGACTTTCTTGTCAAATCGTGAATTAGGACTTTACTGTCAAAAAAAATAAAGTTTATGACTTTGTTGTCAAATTGTTGAAAATATTGGGACTTTAGTATATTTTCGTAACCTAAGAACTTTTAATTGTGACTTTTGTTGGAGCACCATTATTTTTCTTACCATCATCATCTTTAACCTAATACAATCACGATCAGGAGAAACAAATGCAAAAGAGAGAGCGAGAAAGGGTAAAAAGACTTGTAAAACTTTCTTCTTGGTTTGCCGCCAAATATTGAACTAAAAAGTAGGACAAATTATACAAACACAAACAACACATGCCAAGTCAAAAGGGTATGAATGTGGAGAAGGGGTACGAAGGGTAATTTTGTTTTTTTTCGGATTCTTAGTCTCCATTTTTGGGACTGCAAAAAGTCAACACAACCCTAGTTCTTTCTTGATTATCTTTATTTTTTCAATGTCGGTTTGTTGAGATTAAAAAAACTAGTTAACAAGAAGCAAAAGTTAAGGATTTCAATAGGATCTAGTTGACTAGAGAAGGTTTCAATAACTCTTATGCTTAAAGAGTATCATACCATTAAATTTCTAACTAAAAAAAGGGATATATACACTAATGTCCTAATATTTATAACGATTTGACAAGAAAGTCCTAAACTTTAATTTATTGACAGTAAAGTCCTAATTCACGATTTGACAAGAAAGTCCTAAACTTTATATTTTTGACAAAAAAAGTCCTAATTACCAGTTAACCGGAAAAAAATGGTAAAAGTGTTAAAAACTGCCGGTAATTAGGACTTTACTGTTAAAAAAATAAATTTTAGGATTTTTTTGTCAAATCGATGAAAATACTGGGGATTTAGCGTATATATCCATATATTTAACAAGATGAATCTTAAAGAGCATTTTAGATGCATGAGGATAAATTATTTAAATTATTTAAAATAAATTATGAAAAGAGATTAACTGTTAAGTTGATGTCATTTAGAGCATCCACAATGATGAGTTCAATATGAGAGTTGAATGAGGTGGCAAGTCTAATTGTCATTCAATGGATGAAACTCTATCATAGTGAGATGTCACCTTGGCATTCAATAGATTTGGAGTTCAATGGCCATTGAACCCTTCAATGGGAAAAGGGAAAGTTTTATAATCTTAAATATATATTATAAATGAGCTTTTGTAACTTTCTATTGAACTTTGTAGAGTTCAATGCATTGTAGGAAAAAATTGATTGAGTTGTATCGAATTTAGAAAAATGATGTGACAATCCATTGAACTCTATGTAGTTCAATGTATTGTGGATGCCTTAGCAAGAGAGGTTAAAATTTGTAGAATAAGTAATGAAGGTGGGTAGAAAAATGTCATCCACTGATGTAGCTAAATGAAACGACAAGATAACTTCACCACAAATATAGATAGAAACAACAACATATATAATGTTTGCGCAAGGGTTCCAATGACTTTGAAGCCCCATGCACGATGACGTTCGACCAACACAGATTCATCTTTCAAATATTAACAAACATAGGAAAGCAAATAAACAATTACATAATCTTCTACATTCTTTTAAGGAATAGAAATTACGATAAATCTATATGAACTTGCCTGGTTACTTGCAGACCGAAATGGTTGTCAAGGAAACAAATTCTCTAAGTAAGCACACCACTTGTCGATAAACGCCAACTCGTATGGATTCATTAAGCTTGGAAGTTCATGATCTCGAAGTCTGATGATTATCTGTTTAGTCTCACCAAGAAGTTGAGTTGCAACTTGGACACTCGCCTCCCTTTTCTCTATAACAATTTCATGGCATTTCATTAGAATGACTTGGGGTAAATTGGTGAGACAAGCAGCTATTATATCAGCGATCCTTGATGATACATGTGCAAATAGTTCCTCTTGGCTAACCTGCTCAATGTTGTCGTGATAGTTGAGCAAGATTGTCTCAGTGATACAATACATTGAATTGGCACAAATAGACATGTATTTATAACCATAACTTCGGCTTCTGATATCCATACTTTCCACCTTGTTGACCTTATTCTTAGCCTTATCCCTTAACCATTGAAGAATATCTCCCGGTGTATTCATTTTAGACATAGGATTTGGTAGCTTAGTTCCTAACCATTTGTGGTACACTTCAACATCTACCCACAAAGTTTCAGCTGCCTTTTGAATGCTTACATGATCATGATCAGTAGCGTTGAGGCTTTCTTCCACAAGCGTGACATATAAAAGACCCTCACTCACACCATTAAGCAAGCAATCGACCATGTTCTTTGGGATGTCAGGTAGAGACTGTTGGTTCAACCCTCCCTCCTTCAGCCTACGAACAAATGAGATAAAGAAAAACAGATGTTATCTGTTGCTGTTGTACACGAGAAGAAGAAAAAGCAGATAGAGAAGTAAAGTATTTTGGACTCAAAGACTACACACCCTTTATTCAGCAAAACAAACAAGGCTATAAATAGCCTGTACATGTTCCACAAGGATAAACATAACACCCTAAAACTAACTAACTATTCCTAGAGAATAGGTTCCTTCAAAGACCCGGTACACCCACATGCATAATTAAGGGCTTCCCATGATCTGGTCAAACACCATTTATTCAAAATAACTAAATCAATCAAATACTTAAATATTAACTAATATTTATCAAGATTATCCAACATTCACCCCCATAATCTTGATGATCTTGACCCATTATAGCAAAGCTGGCTCTTCCTCTTGAACCAAGTTTGCTTCATTGTCTTTGTCTTTCCACTTTTTGTGCATTCATAGCTAAAGTGCCCAAAGTCTCCACAATCATAGCAACGAATTCCACTTTTGTCACCTCGACCTTTTCCTCTTCCTCGGCCTCTTCCACCTCTTTCATAGTTTCCTCCATTTCCTCTTACGTATCTACTACTTTCACCATGCCTGTGTTCACTTGCCATAAAGAGTTGATCTCGCTCTTCTTCTTTTTCATCATGGATTTTGAGCCTATCTTCATAGGCTTTTAACCTTCCTACCGCCTCTTCCAATGGCATACTTTCAAGGTCGGAGTATTGTTCAATAGAAGCTACAATTGGCAAATACTTTTTCGGAACGGAATTAAGAAATTTTCTAACAGTCACTTCTTCATCAAGAGATGAACCAAGACTTTTGAACTTCTCAACTATACCCAATTATCTTTCCTGAAAAGTCATTGATTGTCTCGTCATCCTTCATTTTCAGCCTCTCCAATTCACCCCTTAATGTTTGCAACCTTGCCTTTTGTACCCGTTCGGTACCTAAATACCGAATCTTAATGGAGTCCCAAACCTCTTGTGCATCCTTATATTTAGCAACCTGCAAAAGAACATCTTCCGGGAGAGTGGGATAAATTATGGCTTTTGTAGTATAGTTTCTTTTCTCGTCCTCATCTTCTCTGAGTACCGTCTTCCAAAGGCCATGTGCTCTTAACACAGTTTCAACCAAAATTGACCATGAAGTGTAGTTTGTTTCCGTCAATTTTGGACACTGGAGTGTGATACTCCCTTCTTCACGAACCGTTAATCCACCCGCGTTTTCTGTCATTTCTTGCAACACTTTTGAGTTTTAATAACGGTCTTGCTATGAATTTTTCGGTCCTTTCTTTCTTCCTTAAGTGAGCCTACGGTCTCTGGTCACCTGTGTCGGTCTAGGGTTAGTCGCTGGTCCTTACTGCAGCTTAACGGTCTTCTCCTCGTCAGTCTTCGGTCTCTTTACACCGGAATTTCCTTTCCAGCTGGTCTGTTTGGTCTTTGTTTCTCCTGCTGTGAATCACATGAAATTGTCTCGTTTTCTTTTACCCGATACCCAACTTGAGAGCTCTGATACCAAATGTTGGTTCAACCCTCCCTCCTTCAACCTATGAACAAATGAGATAAAGAAAAACATATGTTATCTGTTGTGTTGTACACGAGAAGAAGAAAAAGCAGATAGAGAAGTAAAGTATTTTGGACTCAAAGACTACACACCCTTTATTCAGCAAAACAAACAAGGCTATAAATAGCATGTACATGTTCCACGAGGATAAACATAACACCCTAAAACTAACTAACTATTCCTAGAGAATAGGTTCCTTCAAAGACCCGGTACACCCACATGCATAATTAAGGGCTTCCCATGATCTGGTCAAACACCATTTATTCAAAATAACTAAATCAATCAAATACTTAAATATTAACTAATATTTATCAAGATTATCCAACATTCACCCCCATAATCTTGATGATCTTGACCCATTATAGCAAAGCTGGTTCTTCCTCTTGAACCAAGTTTGCTTCATTGTCTTTGTCTTTCCACTTTTTGTGCATTCATAGCTAAAGTGCCCAAAGTCTCCACAATCATAGCAACGAATTCCACTTTTGTCACCTCGACCTTTTCATCTTCCTCGACCTCTTCCACCTCTTTCATATTTTCCTCAATTTCCTCTTTCGTATCCACTACTTTCACCATGCCTGTGTTCACTTGCCATAAAGAGTTGATCTCGCTCTTCTTCTTTTTCATCATGGATTTTGAGCCTATCTTCATAGGCTTTTAACCATCATGGTGCACATAAAACTCATGCTTCCAAACTTTGTTGCCTGGTCCACAAGACTTGGCATTAGATTATTTAGATCCATGGGTAGCTTAATTGCAACAACTATCACAGTGAGAGATGCAGCATTCAGAGTGAAATATTTACATGGAAACCATAGCTTTCTGTTCCGCAAACCGTGTAATAAATCAGCCACCATTACAAGGACACAAAGCAGAGATGCTAATGCTATATACATCCCAATCCACGGCATAGGTTTGCTATACTGCTTTTGCTGATGTGACTGGTATACCAGATTCCACAGGGAAGATAGGTATTATGTTGTAATATTTGGGCAAGATGCTTCAAGTACCTGGAATTCCAGATCATGCTCTGATTTTCCGTAGATATCCATGACAATGCTCCGGGTTTTCTTATCAATGGCACTTGTGTGGTATGCGTAAGGGAGTGCAAAGGAGAAGCAGAGTGCAGAGTATGTCTTTAGAATGACTTAAATTAAAGCTGATATGTTTCCTCCAATAATGCTATGATGGAACACTTGAAAGATTTGGAACAAACTAGTAATGACTTTCCTTAAAGCATGTCGGCCACATATCAGTGAACTTTAAAAGGACTGAAGTGGAGGATAATTTCCAATGACTTTGACCACAAAATTTACAATGCTACATGCAATAATGTTTCTATTGCAATTCAATTTTGATACAAGTCACGGTGGGATCCTTGTAGATGCCTGTGGTAGTCCGTGCTACCCTTAAAATTTCGTTAAGAAGCCTAAATTTTTTTTGTAATTTTTTTATACTGCAGTGCTACCCCTGTAAAAAAAATATGACTAGGCTATATTATAACTAAAAAATATTTACAGTCCAAATATAATAGCAACTTTTTTAAAATAGCCAAAAATATTTAAGCCCAATATTTTAATGAAATAGAAGAAGAAGAGATAGCACAATAATTTCCAAATCTTGTACTCATTTGATAAATATTTTTTTAAATATAAAAAAAACCCTGAAATCACAGGCGGATCCACTTAGATGCCCAGGGTACTGCCTAAACCTAAAGAGTACGGGCATATATATATATATATATATATATATATATATATATATATATATATATATATATATATATATATATTCAAATGAGAACATTTTTTAAATTGAGAAAAAATGAGAACAAATTTCGGCCAATCAAATTCATTAAAGCATGGGTGTCTTATTTTTATTCGTTCAGGGTAGGTAGTAATTTTGCATCTTATCTTGTTTCAGCGGTAGTTATTAGGTAATTTACGTTGTGTTGCGCTGGCTCCACACATCAACATGTGAACCAATCATATCCCAAACTCCTGAGAATCGACGAGCACCACCGGCTTCGGCGATTCAGACGGCACGTCAACAACTTCATATCCAGATCCAGGTGTGGCTGATTTCATTCGTTCAATTCTGTTTCTAGACACAGGAGAATCCTTTGCGGTTGTGTTGTAAATTGCACCACCTGCAATCGCTCGCAAATCATATGGATCATCATTGATCCCATGGAGAAAGATAAATACCAAACTGAATCTCAGCTTTAGCTAATTTGCACGTTGACGGTTTGCGCGGAGGCGATTGTGTGTTTCTGATGAGCGATTCACTTCTCCGTTATTATCAAATTCAAGGTTATCTCATTTCATCAATAATGGCATATTTCTGATTTCGTTTGTTGATTGATAACACATTCTCTTGGTATCTTCGTCTCCATCTCTTTTTTTTCGAAATTTAATTCATATATTTGTTTAGTTTGAGAAAGATATTATTCATTTGATTTAATTGGTAATAGGATTTGGGCTATAACACTTGCATATCATATGTCATAGTATCATTCCTTGTTCATATCATACTGACGTTTAAGAAATTGGTGTCTCACCTGGTGAAACAAATAGCGGCCACCAGGTGTTTGACAAAATGTCACAAAGAAACATACTTGTTATTAAGATCCAAATACATACCTTGCTGTTAACATTATATTACTTATTTTACTTAGGTCTTTCTCAAGGCCACATATGAGTTTAACTCTTTGATCTGCAAACACATAATAGTTTTGTATAATGAAATTTTTCTTTTTCTTTGTATATTGAAAAACACATCAAATAAAGTTACCATTGATTGCTTCTCATCATCTAGTTTCTTGCTGACTTTTGGAGGATTTTTACTTTCCTCCTCTTTGATTTCACGGTCAAACTCTCTGATCAACCTTAAAGACCATTTAATTAGTAAAATAGAGGCTGAATTTGAGTCTATTAGAGAGTTGATGATCACTGTAGGATTTCATGCACACAAGGTGTTTGTCATATTGTCTGAAAGAACCTAATAAGTGTAAAAGTGGCATTTTATGTGAAAATCCTTAACTTTGAACCCTCATTAAGCTAAGCATTAAGGCCCTTAGGTTAAATTGAATTTCATCTCAATATCCTAATAAGTAGCCAACAATCATTTTAAAAGTGATAAACTTAAGGCTTAACCAGTAAGTCCTAAATAGAACACCAAAAGTGATTTAAAAGCTATTACGATCAATTTTCCCAAATCTGTCCTCTAACTTCTAAAATTCATGCAAGTCAATAAGAACACCTAAAATTCATGAGACTTAGTTTTCTGGAAATATTAGTGTGTCTAGTTTCTTCAAACTTTGAATCATATTTCGAAATTCCAAATCCTTGAGCGGTAAAATTGGCAATCTTCTCGGGTTGGTCCATGCTGTCATAGATTTCATGCATTGTTTTCAAAAAATCATAATAAATTCATCAGAACTCCAAATGCCAAAATTCCAAAGCTTAAAGTTAGATATGGATGTATAGTTTCCCACATATAAGGGTCTAATGTAATTCGTAGTAGATTGGTACAGTTTATTCCAAGAGTGTTGAGTGATCCAGAAAGTGACAACTTAAAGTTAGTAACTTGTAAATTTAATATAAAATCAACCAAAAATCATTAGAACGGGATATTGATATTCCCAAAAAGATAAAAGGGGGAAATTTACCAATATTATTTTATCAAAATTTAATAATGGGTTGAAAGGCAAGAAAATAGATCCCAAAAAGAGCACTACAATCAAAGAGAAAATAAGGAAATATCTGCATAAGTTTTAGAAGAGTAATACAACAAAGCACAAGCTAAATAATCTTATAATTGATGTGTAGGTTCTCGGAAAGTAAATGATTCATCTATCTCATGCTAGCTAATTTTTAGGTTCAAGGAGCTGAGTTACAGTAACTCTCATATTATGTAAGTATTACTTGTTTTATGTTATTATTCATGGATACCCTAATCTGGTAGAGTGAAGAAGGAAAGGCAGAATGTAGTTTGTTCTCTAGTGAGACAAGGAAACAAGATTCATTTCCGTGTTCTCGATTCGTTAGTTGTTCTCGTGTATTAAATCACATGTGATTATATGATCGACTCACATATAACTTATATGCACAAGATTCATTTTTGTGTTTTCGATTCAATAGTTGTTCTTTGTCCATATTAATCGTAGAGTATCTGATTAAATACATAAAATGGCATATTATTAAATACATGATAACAAATATTGAATTGAGAACGTGAATTTGAATCTTATTCACATATATCATATGTGATTAGATACGTATAATCACATGTGATTAAATACACGAGAACAACTATTGAATCGAGAACACGAAAATGAATATTGTCCACATAAATCATATGTGATTAGATACATATAATAACATGTGATTATGTGTATCTAATCACATATGATTTATGTGGCTATGATTTATTTTCGCGTTCTCGATTCGATAATTATTTGTTTTCACTTTAATCATTTGTGATTAAAATACATTTAATCGATGTGATTATATGTTTCTAATCATATATGACTTTATTTGTAAAAAACAAATATTGTATGTATAAATCATATGTGATTAGAAACATATAATCACATGTAGTTATATACATGATAACGAATATTGAACTATGAACACGAAAACAAATCTTTATCCAAATTAGTCATATGTGGTTAAATACATCTAATCATGTGTGATTATATGAATCTAATCACATATGATTTATGTGGACACAATTCATTTTTTCTTTTTCGATTTACTAGTTGTTCTCATGTATTTTATCACATGTGATTATATGTATAATCGTATGTGATTAAGTACATGAGCACAACTATTGAATCAAGAAGGCAAAAATGAATCTTGTCAACCTCAAATCATATGTGATTATATACATATAATCACATATCATTAAATACACAAAAGCAATTATTCAATCGAAACAGTAAAAATAAATATTGTCTACATAAATCATATCTGATTAAATGCATATAATCACATGTGATTATATGTATTCAATCATATATGATTTATATGGATAAGATTCATTGTCACATTCTCGATTCAGTAATTGTTCTTTGTCAACTGTACTCATATGTGATTAAATACATATAATCATATGTGATCTATTCACATATGATTTATATGGACAAAAAATAATGATGTCTATATAAATCATATGTGATTAGATACATATAATCACATATGATTATATACACGAGAACAACTATTGAATCGAGAATACAAAGATAAATATTGTCCACATATATCATATGTGATTAAACGCATATAATCACATGTGATTATATGTATCTAATCACATAGAATTTATGTGGAAAATATTCATTTTCGCGTTCTCGATTCAATAGTTGTTCTCGTGTATATAATCATATGTGATTATATGTATCTAATCACATATGATTTATATAAACATCATTATTTTTTGTCCATATAAATCATATGTGAATAGATCACATATGATTATATGTATTTAATCACATATGACTACAGTTGACAAAGAACAATTACTGAATCGAGAATGTGAAAATGAATCTTATCCACATAAATCATATATGATTGGATACATATAATCACATGTGATTATATGCATTTAATCAGATATGATTTATGTAGACAATATTTATTTTTGCTGTT